AACAACAACAACAACATCTTGAGGAATTCTTGCATTTTTGTAAAATACTTAAGATACTATCCATGTAATACGCTGAATTGTTTGGTAGACTCCCCTGAACGTAAAAAAATATTTTGAAAAAATAGAAAAATATAAGTCAGATGTCATATCTTTACTTAATAGCTGTCACTACTATTACAAGAGAGCTCTGGTGGCCTAGTGGTAAGGAATTGTGCTGTCAACCCAAAGATGCCAAGTATTTGCCAACCAGGTACCTTTGTACCTACAAAGGTACATGGTTTGAGCCTACCAGCTGCTCCATGGGGAAAAGATGTAAAATCTCCTCCTGTATAATCTACGGCCTCTGAAAATCTACTAGAGGATTCCAACTCTCCAGGAGACAACAACAACACTGCTACCATTACAACCACCATCTAAAGCGGCTTCCTATTACATATAAAATCAAAGCCAAACTCATTATTATTGTCATGGTTCATTTCTGCCTATCTCTTGCCATTTCCCTTATGATCATGAACTATGTTGTAGCCACTAGCCATCAGTCAATTCCTCAAATGTACTGGATCTTACTGGTCCAACTCTGTAGCCACTAACAATGTGTTAGGAAACTCTGCTGGCCTGGTGGAAGAAACTGCGCTGCAATTCTGAAGGCACACATTCTGAATACATACACCAGCCATTCCGTGGGAAAAGGATGGGCAGTCTCCGCCTGGGCGATTTACTGCCTCTGTAAACTCACTAGAGGGTCAGCTAAAGGTTGGTTTCAACTTGATGGTATCAACAACAACATGTTAGGGAGTTCTAGTGGCCTAGTGGTAAGAAGCTATGCTGCAGTCCTGAAGGCACACGGTTTGAATCCACCAGCAGCTTCACAGGGAAGTATGGACATGCTCATCCTGTGTGATTAGCTGCTGCTGAAAACCTGCTGGAGGCTCAGTTATGCATCAGTTCCAACTGGAAAGCATACAGCATGCTGCTATTTAAATTGAGAAATTTCTTACTTGCATTAGTCACATTTTAAATGCCCAGTTGTCTCACTTGGTTAGTGGCCACCACTTTGTGCAGAAGCTATCAGAACATTAGACAGAAAACACATCACAGAAAGTTTGTTAGACAGTGCTGCTTTAGGCTCTTTCTCCCTGACATTTCCAATGATTCCCTGTTTGAAAGGCTCTTTTCATCAACTCATCTCTAGACTATAACCTGCTCATCTGTCATATCTCAAGACAAAAGTAATCCACATGGTCTCTCCACACTGAGTGCTTTTGTTATTCTCTATGATTGGAAGCCCACTTATCTTCCCTACAAAAACAATGTATCTGATGAGGGCAAAGACTATCTTATTTCGCTCATTAGTGTACATATACCACCTGACATTATACAGAGTAAGAATTCAGTAAGTACTGAGAAACAAACATTACATTTATATCTGTCTGGAATCACTTTTATTCATACCACATTAGACATCAAGCGGGACAACACTAAAGTTTAAGGATGAATAAGAAATACCCTTAAAAGAACTGACACGAGGGTCATATTAGACTAACTATATGATGGTCTTAAAGACCTTGTGCCAACTACAGCAATAATCACTATGGTGGCACAGTCCTTAGGGAGTTGCAATCTCATCCAAAGACTGCACTTCTTTGGCAGTTCGAATCCACAAGCAATTTCTTCTTGTGCAATTTACAGCCAGGGGAAACGGAAGGTCAGCTATAAATTGGTTCTGACTCAAGGGCAATAAGTAACAGGTATCAGTAACCACCGGAGCTTCCTCTGGGGTATCAGACTGAGCAAAAGACGGCATCATGAAATAACATTAAAGAGTGAGGAGCTGCATCACACACTTGGAAGAATTTGTCAATACTTGATCTTAGCCAAAAGGCCGAGAAGCGATTGGAAGAATTTGTCAATAAAGTAGAAAGGCTGCTTGTGGCAAAGTGTCAAAGATTTTGAAGGCCACACAGAAGGCTGTGAATTTGTTACTGATACCAGTAACATTAAAGTGTTTTAATATAAAATTAACAATTAAATCTGTGTTATTAAAAAAATATTCTGGCAAGAATATGGAGAATGTGTTGGAGAGAGATGAGATTGAGGCAGTACATTCTAAATGACAAAATACAAGTTATCATAATTGTAATTCTTTTTCTAAGACACCTTCTAGAAAGCCCAATTTTACTGCTATGTTATATAATTCACACCATTGATGCAAGGTAAAATAAAATTGTGTAATTTTTAAAACACACACACACATGCACACAAAATTTACACCCTGGACAAATTTTCTTTCATTTTACCTTTGCTTTCTTCAGTAGCAGTGACAGACTTTTCAAATAAGTTAAAGTTCAAAGCATTTTCCTCTTCTACAGCCAAAGGAGGTTTTTTCTTTTCATTCTGCTGATGTGAAATCTTTATGGCTGGATTGAATACTGGATGGTCTTCTAAAGTTTCCATTTCTACCAAGAAGAAAAAAAAATATTTTCATATATTTGCTTTATATGCCTTTTGGCTTTGAAAAGTTGTTTAAAAAAACCCACAGAATTCAGAGATAATTTATTAACTGTCACAGTCTATGCTAAAATGGTTATAAAAAGTTATTTAACAAATGTGGAACTAGATCTTCATTTCAAAGAAATATTCATGGGAATTGTATCCACCTCCTCTTAAATGCACATGGCATTTTCTGGTATAAATTAGGGATTAGCAAACTGCCATCTGTAGGGCAAATTAAGCCTTACCACTTATTTTTGTCTGACTCAGAAACTAAGAATTATTTTTACAAAAAAACACATAACCAAAGAGGCAAACTCCATCTCAGGAAAGTTAACAACTAAAGCACAATTACATCAACACATCTAAAAATTGGAAAGTGTTAGTTACCTCTTTGGAATTTCCTTATTTTCTCTTGAGCTTCTCTTTGGCCTGATTTGTTTTTTTCTAGTTTAAAGGTAGCTGCTTGTTCTTTTGCATCCTTCAGTTTTGCTGCAAGGTGCAAGTATCTTTCATTCTGTTCCAAATAAGATGAAGAGGGAAAAATGGAGAGAAAGTTTATCAGTGGTCACTAAGTTGTACTAAACCTCTTGATCCTCCTGTGATCAATTGATTTTGAGAAAGAAACTACGTTTATCCAGTAAGGAAAGAACTTTAATACATGGTGTCGGGCCAAATAGATTTCTAAAAAAAAATGAACCTGGACTCATACTGTCTACCATTTTACATAAATTCAAACTGGATAGGAGATTTCCATGAAGAAAGCAGAACAGTAAGATTTTTAGAAAAAAATACAGAGGTCTGTTTTTAAATATCAAGTTCTATTTTTAAAATAAGATTCTTATATATAGCACCAAAAACACAAGGAAGAAAAGACAAAATAGGTAGTGGAACCTCATCAAAACCACAAAAAAAATCCCAAACAGGTTTGGTTCAAAGGAACTTACGAAGAAAGTGAGGAGACACACCCTGACTGGGAGGAAATTTTTGGGAAGCACATACTGAATAAGGCTTTACAATTTAGGGTATCAGCTGGCCCAGTGGACAGAAAGCCAAAGGTGGGTGACTTTTAATTCACTGCCCTCAGGCCTGTCTTTCATTGTTTTTGTTCGGACATTCCTCTAGGTCTTATAGCCCTGGTGTACAAGTTGCCGTACTGAGTTCACTTGTGGTTGCTGTGAGGCTGAACACCGTGACACTGGTGTGTCAAATCTGTTAATGATTGGCTACCCAATGCGGACAGAGAGCGGGGTGGAGTGCCCCGATTAAAACAAGCTTGGAAGGAGGAGTGGCATCCACTTCCATAATAGCTTGCCTCCGGAAACTCTATGAACCTAGAGAGAGGATGAAAGGCACCCAAGTGTCGAGGACTCTCCTTCATAGGGTCGCTATGAGTCGCCTGCGACTTGAAGGCACTTAACAACAACTTGAATTTGAACAAAAAGACAAAGAATCAAATTAAAAAAGAAAAACGGGCAATGGATTTGAAGTTACTTATGCAAGGAAAAACAACAATTAATCCACAAGCACATGCTCAATGTAATTGTCTTTGTTATTAGGTGTCATTGAATCAGTTCAGACTCATAGCAACCCTACATACAACAGAATTAAGCCCTGCTCAATCTTGTGTTATCCTTGCAATCTAGGCTGTGCTTAAGCCCACAGCTGGAGTCACTGTATCAATCCATCTGCTTTAGGGTTATCCTCGCTTTCTTTATCAGGTTTGACTTCCTTTTCTGGGGCCTGTCCTGTCCTAATAAGATGATTATAGTATGTGAAACAAAGTCTCAGCATCCTTGCTTCTAAGGAGCACTCTGGCTGTACCTCTTCTAACACAGATTTGTTTGTTGATTTGGCAGTCTCTGGTTTATTCAATATTCTTCACCAGCACGATAAATCAAAGTTATCAATTCTTTGGCCTTTCTTATTCATGGTCCAACTTTCCTATTCACACAAAGCAATTAAAACCATCATGGCTTTGGTCACGCACATCTTTGTCTTCAAAGTGATATCCTTGCTCTTTAATACTTTAAAGAGGTCCTTAGTAGTACATTTGTGCAGTGCAATGTCTTGACTTCTTGACTGCTGCTTTCATGGGTGTTGACTGTGGATCCAAGTTAAACATTTGACAATTTTCATCATTTCTCTGTTTATATTGTTTTGGTTCTGACTCATAAAAATCCTATATTCAACAGGATGAATTGCCTGATTCTGTGCCATCCTCATAACTATTGCTATGTTGTATTATGTCGTGTTCGAAGAGCCTCACAGCTAACCCTACAGCAGGTTATCAGAGGCAGTAAATCACATGGGAGAAAACTGTCCATCTTCCTTCTTGATAGCAGCTGGTGGATTTGAACTTCTTGTTTTTGGCTTAGCAGTGCAACTCCTTACTATCAAGCCAGCAGAGCTCCCTGTGGCTGTCAGAACCGAATACTGCATCCATTGAGAGAATGTTTTCTCCTTTGCTTACCCTCTACTTTCCCCAACATGACGTTGTTCTCCAGGGATAGGTTTCTCCTGAAAACATGTCCAAAGTAAGTGAGACAGAGTCTATCCATCTTTACTTCAAACAAAGTATTTGGTGTTAGGGAAATGCAATTCAAAACCGTAACATCTAAGATGTAAAAAAATTAAATAACAGGTGTTCAGAATGTGGAGAAATTAAAACCCTTATTCTTTGATTCATTAAAGTATGATTTATTCAAGTAGAAATGCATTAAAATTTAAGTGTAGAGATTAGTCTGATAAATGTATACATCTAAATAACCACC